AGGCAGTTGGGGTTAAGTGACTTGCCCAGGGTCACACAATTAGTAAGTGTCAAGCATTTGATCTGAGGCCGGATTTGAACTCAGGTCCTCCTGACTTCAGGGCCGGTGCTCTATCCACTGAGCCACCAAGCTGCCCCTCTTATGTCTATACTGAGACAGTTGGGTGATGTGGGTGGGTAGAGTGTAAGACGTAGTGAGGAAAACTTGAGCTAAAATATACCCTCAGATACTAGGTGTGTGACTCTGGGCAGCTTATCCGATGCCCTGCCTCAGTTTCCCCTCTATCTCCTGTTTACCATGAAAAATTTAGTGAATATAACTCAAAATATCGTTTGTCAGAACATTCATGCTGCTATTAACCAATGAAGAGAAAGCAAGTGAAATTACAGCTATGCGAATTGATCATATAGCACCCAGGACATCCCCCTCATATGTGCCCCCCCCCAAAAGCCACATTGTGAATCAGCATTCATTGAAAACCATAGCCCATGAACCTTCATAGCAGTTGCCCTGAGGACACAGTTCTATATCAAGGATATTTAAATAAAGCATCCTGGGAAATAAGCTGACCAAAAAAAAAAAGATTCCTTAAGCAAAATGAGGCACATGCTCCAAAAGGTTACCATAAATACCAGTGGGAAAAGATACACATTCAGGAAACATTTGTAGCCAGGGGACATGTGTGGAGAGTACATTAATCAGGCTATACAACAGGAAGCCAGATGGCCAACCATTGGTCAACCATGTCAAATCCTGCAGAGAGTTCAAGAACAATGAGGAATGAGAAATGGTCTTTGGATTGAATAATAAAGAAATCATTGTTACTTTGGGAGGAGCGGTTTCAGGTTCCCTGTGGGACCAGACAGGGCCATTGCTCCTGGTCTAGCAGGGAAGTTGGGTGTTTTAGAAAGCAGAGACCACTTGAAGATGTGGCTATCACTTTACGTCGGAGGAATAGAAACATCTGAACCCTATTCTAGGTCACACCTACTAACCATGGGTATCCCCAGGGCTCTGCTCTGGGCCCTCTTCTCTTCTCCTTCTATACTATTTCACTTGATGATCTCATCAGCTAGATTCAATTATCATCTCTATATTGGTGATTTTCTAATCTACTTGTCCAGCCCAATCTCTCTGCTATTTACATGTGAAAACTAAGGTAAATTGAGAGACAATTTGGAGAATGATCAATGTATTGGTTAGGTTAGCAATAACCAATAAATTGGGTCAATGGCCTCTCTCAATGACCAAAGACCCCAAGGCAAGACTTACTAGCTTTCATATGGTTTTGGGAAGTAAAGAACAAAGAACAGAGTTGGGTGGGTGGGAAAAAGAATGCAATTGCTTACAGGGTTGGCATGCATCATGGGGGGGAGGACAACATCCACCCATATGGGTCTAGTAGCCACTCCTGTCATAGAGCAATGCTAGATTGAGTTATAGGACCCATGTGCATCCTGAGGCTATTGATAGTGGACCAGGGATAGCAGACTCCCTGTCTCCTAGGAGGGAGGTAAGACCTTCCTTAGTTGTACATGGAAAGGCAAAGATGGAAAATATATTTTGTAAAAATATACCAGGTCAGCTTGTAGGCCTTCAAAGACAGCAAACAGATGTCACAAAATTTTTCATAAGCTGAAGGTATAAGGGATAACAAGTTTTCTTTTAACTAATTCAGAAGGGGAACTGAATTCCTGTAACTAAGAAATGTTCATTGTTTGAGTCTACCTGTAAGGTTAGAGATAGTGGACCAGACTCCCTGTTGTCCACTTGTATCTCTCAAAGGTAACAGATTTCCTTGAGGGGATTAGCAGAAGTGAACTTCTAAACTTAGTTCATAGGCAAAGAGACAAAGAAATGTGGCTTGAGCAATCGTACAAAATCGGGGCAGTAGTACAGAAGAGGATCAATTACAAAATAGAATCAATTATAAGATAATACAGAATCAATTTAATTTCTTCACTGCTGACCTCTGGTCTTTCATCTCCAACTGCCTATCGCACATTTGGAACTATATATCTTGTAAGACATCTTAAATTCAATATTTCTAAAACTGAATTCATGATGTTTTCCTTCAAATCCTCCCTTTTTCTTAACTTCCCTGTTACTGTCATGGGTGCTAGGTTTGAAACCTAGGTGTTCTTTTCTTTTCTTTTCTTTTCATTTTTACAATCTGTTTTCAATTTTTTAAAAATTTTATTTGTTTTAGTTTTCAGCATTCACTTCTAGAAGATTTTCTCCCCCTTCCTCTGCTCCTCCCAACCCAGGATGACATTCAATATAACATAGGTTATACATGTATAATCATATTAAACATATTTCCACATTAGTCATGTTGTAAAGAAGAATTAGAACCAAAGGCAAAAACCATGAGAAAGAAGAAAGAGAAGAGGAGAGAGAGAGAGAGAGAGAGAGAGAGAGAGAGAGAGAGAGAGAGAGAGAGAGAGAGATGCTTTCCCCTGTGATCAGGCTCCAGAATTCTCTCTCTGGCTGTGGATAGCATTTTCAAACACCATTAGTCTTTTAGAATTATCTTGGATCATTGTATTGCTGAGAAGGTAAATCTATCAAAGTTGATCATCACACAATATTGCTGTTACCATGTACAATGTTCTCCTGTTTCTGTTCACTTCCCTCAACATCAATTCATGTAAGTCTTTCAAGGTTTTTCTGAAACCCACCCGCTTATAATTTTTTATGGAATAATAGTATTCTAATACATTCAAATACCATAACTTGTTCAGCCATTCTCCAGTTGATGGACATCCCCTCAACTTCCAATTCTTGGCCACCAAAGAAAGAGCTGCTATAAATATTTTTATACATGTGGGTCCTTTTCCCTTTTATGATCACTTTGGGATACAGACCTAGAAGTGTATTGCTGGGTCAAAGTTTTATAGCCCTTTGGGCATAGTTCCAAATTGCTCTCCAGAATGGTTCGATCAGTTTACAACTCCACCAACAATGCATTAGTGTTCCAATTTTCCCACATCTTCTCCAACATTTATTATTTTCCTGTTTTGTCATGTTAGCCAATCTGATAGGTGTGATGTAGTACCTCAGAGTTGTTTTGATTTGCGTTTCTCTAATCAATAGTGATTTAGAACATTTTTTCATATGAATATAGATAGCTTTAATTTTTTCATCTGAAAACTGCCTGTTCATATCCTTTGGCCATTTATCAACTGGTAAATTTATCATTTATCAAATTTGTATTCTTATAAATTTGACTCAGTTCTCTATATGTTTTAGAAATGAGGCTTTTATCATAGACACTAGCTACAAAAATTGTTTCCCAGCTTTTTGATTTCCTTCTAATCTTGGTTGCATTAGCTTTGTTTGTGCAAAAACTTTTTAGTGTTCTTGGAAGAAATTTAAAATGAAATAAGAGAGATCAAGGAAAAATTAGGGAAAAAAATAAGGGCAATCCAAGAAAATCAAGAAAATTACGAAAAGTCATTCAATGGGAAAAGGACTTTCAAAAACTTAGGAAAATAATTCCAGTCTGAAATTAGGCTGAGTGAGGCAGTTCTGGCATATGTGGTGAGCCAGGAAGGACACCTTCTGAGTGGGAACCCTTGGAACCACTCCTCTGTGACTGAATGTCAGTGTGGGACCTAGTCAGTCTCTTGTCAGAATAGATACTGAATGATGTACTTGGTGGGAGGGGGCAAAAGTGAATTAGTATCAGCTGAGTTAGGGTGATGGTAATGGGTTTCCAAAAGACATCTCAAATTCCTGGATTGGGATCCCCCAAAAGGTCTGATGCCAGAGCTGGTGAAATTTAGTGCTCTACTGAGACTTCAAGCCTATAGTGTATACACATTGAGTCCTAATGCCAATTCCTACAAACCAATTTCAGCATATGATGATAAGCCCTCTACTGATTCTATTTTACAAATTCCATAAATTGTGAGTCCTGTGATCTCCAGAGAGTATTAAGAATGCTAAGGGAAAAATTATAGGAACTCAGAGGAGTGGGAAGTGTTCATAGTCAGATTACAAGAATGTCTGAATTCCTGAAATATCTCTTCCCTATCCTCTGGTACCCTAGAGATTGTCCTCCAAATCCTTAGTAGAATTCTCTCTACTGGGTAGTAAATCCCATCTTCGTAAAGCCACATTTGGGTACTCTGCAACCCTGACCAATCACAGTTATTGAATCATAAAGCAGGAAGGAACCTTTGAAATTATGTAGCCCAGATCTATTCTAGAATGAGGGCATGCCCTTTGTATGTCTAATATTCTGGTGCACAAGAGGATCCCTTAAATCCTTGGTCATTTATAAACTGAAAGGTCTGTTAGAAGTCCTGCCATTCTGCCCCAGGAAAGGTTAGGCACAGAATTGTCCAATATAAATTATTCTACCCCAGAGAAAAACTTAAGTTTTTGGTATTCTTGTTGGACAGAATGACATTTAATATTTTTTTAATGGCATGAATTTACTGCCAAAAGGTGAAATGATGTGTAATGAAGAAGGTTGGGGGTGGAGAAACTAGTGTCCATCTAAATGTGCAAACACACAGGCATGACCTATATACACATACACACAATCTTCATGGCCTTGCAAACTCATACATGTGCAAAATCTACAAAAAACAATCTATATAGTCATACACACAACATCAACACTTTTCTCCCAGTCTATACTTGCACAAAACAATCTATGACATACAACCTGATTTTAATACACATGCATACAATTTATACACACAAAACTACCTACCAAAGGCACAATCTTCACACTCAGACATCAATCTACTCAGTCAAAATCTATATACTTATGTTCTACACATACTAAGTAATCTGCTCTAAATCCTACACATATTAACAGAGGCATACTGGAAACCTACATACAGAAGTAGATACATGCCATCTAAAAAGGGCGGGGGGGAAATCTGGCTTGTTTAATCACACAGTAAATGGTGGAAGTGAGGCTGAAACCTTTTTTCCGACTCAATCTTGCACTTTTAATGTACTAATTGTCTTGTTTTCAATAGATTGGGAAACTGAAGCAAAGAAAGGGAAATCAACTTGTTGTCCATTTATGAATCCAAATCGGTTGACAGGAGTTACAGGAAGAACCACTCTCTCATATATACAAACCACCTAGGCTAGTCTGGGCCTGGTTCTCTCACCGTAATTCTGAGGTGAGTACCAGTTCCTCTCTTTCTTCTCCCTCTCCCAAATCACTTAACTGGCTCAGACTATTACCCGGTTCTCTTCCTTCAAGTCAATATGGAGGAAAGTCTCTAGTTTAGTGTCCTAGTGGTTTGGTCTTACAGTGTTCAACATTTTATCAATGTCTTAGCTAAAGGAATGGCCAGCTTACTTATCAAATCTGTAAATGACAGAAAGCTGGAAGCTACGTCTGGGTGACAGAGTCAGGTTTCAAAAAGATTCCAACAGATTAGAACCCGAGGCAAAGTCTAGTAAGATTACATTTAATAGAGGTAAAAGAAAAGTCTACCTCCATTTGAGTTTAAAAAACAAAACAAAAAAACACAGCTGCTTAGGTACTTGATGGAAGATGAATGGCTAGACAAATTTGTATGAAAAAGATCATATTGCAAGTTTAACATTAAGGAACCTCAGGGCAAGAAGCTCCAACCCCTACTCAACCAGAACTTTCTCTACAACATATTCAATGAGTAGCATTCCAACTTTAGCTTAAAGACCTTGGAGCTCTTAAGACATTACGTTCCACTTATGGTTACCTCTAATTGTTAGGAAGGTCTTCCTTAAATAAAGCTTAAATTGGCCTCTTTGCAACTTCTCCCCATTGTACCTAATTCTGACCTTTAGGAAGCAAAGTAATTTTCTCTTCCATGTGACAGCAATCATTGTTGAGGGCCGATCTTAAGAGTCTGATAAGGGTTTAAGATCCAAGGCAGAGTCTGACCTCTGCTCAGGCTTTCACCCCAAAGGGCTCAAGGATTAAGTGGTACGGCTCCCCAAATTCCTTCCTGATAAAGAGGTCTCTGAGATATCCCTTCTCTCTCTTTGAACCTTAGATTTACATATTTACTCCTCTATGCAGGTGGCGCCAAGGCGCCTGGGAAAACCTTGGAATCTACAGCCCAATCTAGGAACCCTGATAAGGAGGAAATTCATGATTGTTACATCCTTAGCAGATGTTCTGGGGAGTATCTCACGGGGAGGACTCTTTGAAATTAGGCTAGATCTTCCCTATATATTCTGTGCCTTCAGATGAATAAACTGAGTCAGTAATTCTACTCCGCCTGGCCCATGTCATAAGTTATTTCACGCCTCTCCGTTCAGTGTACAATCTGGTTGCGGGCAACAAATCATGTTTCTGCCCTAAGCTTTCTCCAGTTCCTTCAGCACCTCCAGTTCCATCAACCAATCTTCACATGGTATGGCCTGAACACCCTTCACTATCTTGTGTGCTTTCCTCTGGATATTCTCCATTTTTTCAATGTCCCATCAAAAGCATGGTGCCTAGAATTAAACACATTATTTCAGAATGTGGTCTGACCAGGAGATGAGTATATGAGAACTATGATCTCCCTAGTCCTCGATACTGTATCTTTTTTAATGCAGCCTCCAACTAAATTAGCTTTTTTTTTGGGGGGGGCACTGCCTTAATTGCACTAACTTATATTGATGTCGCAGTTCACTAAAGCCATCAGATCTTTTTTGAATGAACTGTCCAGTCACATCTTCCCCATTTTGAACTAGTGAAATCAATTGTTTTTAACCCAAGTATAATTTCTCTATTAAATTTTGTCTTATATTCAACTCAATGTTCTAATATGCCAAGACTTTTTGGGATCCAATCATCCAGTATATTAGGTATCCCTTCCACTTTTGTCATTTGAATAATTGATAATCACATTATGTGCCTTTATCCAAATAACTGACAAAAACATTAAACACCACAGGACCAAGTATATATGCCTGGGGTACCCTGGAGAGCTCTTGCCAAGTTAACCTGGAAGTATTATTGACTGCACATGGAGACTAGCCATCAACAAAGTTATGAATTCATCCAATTATATTACCATCCAGCTCATCTCTCTCCATCCTTTCCACAAGAATGAGAAAATTTGCCACTCAGTAAAAGTCTACACCATATTTACAATATTCTTCTGCTCTACTTATTTAGTAACCCTATAGAAAAAGGAAATAAGACATCATATGGCAGCTTAAAAAGCTGCATTAATCTAGCTACAATCCAAGATGAGGTAGTGTCATTGTACTTAACACTGTTTAGATCATATCTGCAGTATTATGTTGAATTCAGGGCATCAGTTTAGGGCAGGGGTGGGGAACCTGTGGCCTTCTAGGTCCTTGGGTTCAGCCTTTGGCTGAGTCCAAATTTTGCAGAACAAATTCTTTTTTTTAATTAATTTTTAGTTTTCAACATTTGCTTTTATAAGATTTTGAGTTCTAAATCCCACCCCCCACTCTCTTTTGCTCAACACTGCATGCAATCTGATATAGGCTATACATGTATGATCATAAACAAATCCTTTTATTAAGGGGATTTGTTCTGTGGAGTTTGGATTCAGTCAAAGGGCTGGACCCAAGGACCTAGAGGGCCACATGAGGCCTTGAGACTGCAGGTTCCCCACCCTTGGTTTAGGGATCTATATTGATATATTAAGGATTGTCTAGAGGAGGGGAACTAGGATGGTGAGGCTAGATAGCATGCAATTCAATGATCATTGGAAACAACTGGAAATGCTTAAATATGGAGAAGACATGATAACTGTATTCAACTACTTGAAATGCTGTTATGTAAAATGAGCTTAGATACATCCTTTTTGGTCCCAGAAGACAAAAAATGGAAACAGTAAATGGAAATTGTAGAGGTAGAGTCAAATTTGATGTGATACTTAGAGGTGTCCAACAGCAGTTAAGTGCTCTCAGGAGACAGGCTTCCTATCATTAGAGGTTTTCAAGTAGAAGCTGAACTCATCAGGTCTGCTTTACAGAAAGATTACTAATCAAGTTCAAGTAGTACTAGGTAAGGTCTGGAGGAGGGAATCCTCAAATACTAGGACTCTGAAGGCCAGCTCTTCTATTGCAATGTGACCTTGAGTTGGTCACTCAAACTCTGGACCTGTTTTTTCCCTTTGTAAACTCGGCATGATAGACTAGATAATTTCCCTTCTAGCTTCAAATTCTATGTAACTATTCCATACAAAGACTAGAGAGGAGGCCAGCACAGTTTCCTGTTCTTCAGAGATACAGAAGACAAAGTCCACCTTCCTAGGATCAGTTCCTGAGAGAAGCGCTTCTGGGAAATACACTAATACATAAGGATCAGGTTTAGCTGGCCACCAAACAAGACAGAGGTGAAGGCCCTTTTAAGGTACTAGGTCCTACCTGGATTCTCATATTCTATTCAAACAACACACCATTAGTCTTAATGACTTCAAAACAAGGGAATGGGAAAATGGCAATCAGAATCACCAAGAGCTAGAAATCCCCAATACGGCCATACACAAATGTCAGATACTGCTTTCTAGACTGTGGGTATAATTTGCTGCTCCTGTGCCCATAAATGAGTCGAGAAACAGTAGTCAGTTACAGGTGTTCCTTACTGACAGCATGGGTAAAATGAAGATAGTTGGAAAGGGGTAGGGGAAATTGTGCAAAAGGTCTTTTGTTGTTCAAACCTGTGATTTCACAGACATGAGGAACTCCTAGTATGGAAAATAGAATTAATAAGTTGCTTGGCAGTTCTGAGATGTTGAGTGACTTACTCATTTTATACTGCTAGTGTGTCAGAGGCAGAATCTGAATCCAGGTTTTCCTGAATCCAAAGTCAGTTCTCAATCTATATCACTATGATGTTTCTTAAGCAATGTCATAGAGTTGGGGAATTACTGGATTGTCCATCTAGGTGACCTGCTTACACTTCCAACTCAACATGTCCGAAACTGAACTCATTATCTTTCCTGCAAAACTGTCCCCTTAGGAATTTTTTTTAAAAGTAACATCATCATCTTCTTGGTTACTCTTGGGATCATCTCTTCCTTCTCCTTCATTCACCATTATCTAATCTGTTGTCAATCCTGTAGGTTCTATATTCCCAACAACTCTCTCATCCGTCCTCTCCCAGTGCAACCTCACAGTTCAGGTCCTCATCTCTTTTCTTCCTGATTACCATAATGGTCTATCTAGTCTACCTATCTTCAGTCTGTCCTCTCCAATACATTTTTCTCAACAAATCCCACCTCAGACACTTGTTAGATGTGTGACTCTGAGCAAGACACTTTGGGCTGTAGTTTCCTCAGCTATAAATTGAGATGATTGCACCTGATGGATTCTAAGGTCCCCTCCAGCTCTAAATCTATGATACTAGAATCTTCTTAATGGATTTCTCTATCCTTCCATGCAAAAACTTCAGTGGTTATCTATTGCCTATTGAATAAAGCGCACACCTTGTTTCACAATACTCTCTTTCAAATATTTCATGACCCACTCAAACTGTATTACTCACTGCTCCCCATTCTCATTCTATCCTCTTTTTCATTTTTTAAATTTTTTTTTAGGCAATTGGGGTTAAGTGACTTGCCCAGAGTCACACAGCTATTAAGTGTCAAGCATTTGGTCTGAGGCCAGATTTGAACTCAGGTTCTCCTGACTTCAGGGCCCCTCTCTTCTGTCTTTTTCAATGTCCTTCCCAATGCCTTGAAATGACTCCTTGACTTGCTATCTTCAGCTGTTAAAGTCCTTTTTCTTCCGTCAAGAATAATTCCATTCTACCTTCTCTACCTTCCATGAAGGCTTCCCTAAAACCCCAGAGATAGAAGGTTCTGTTATCTCTCCCCAAATTTCCCACAGATCTCTCCTCGACACTTATTATGCCTTACATCACTGTTACTTGTGTTTGGCTTATCTCTCATTCCATTTGATTGTGGGCTCTTTGACAGTAAACTGCCATCTTTGTATTCTCAATGACTAGAGAATATGGCTATATAGATACACATATTTATATGTGTGTGTATGTATCTTCTACTACATATAGTACACAAATTCATCAAATTGAATCTAATTCTAACAGACACCCTTTCTTCAACACAGCCCCATTTGAAAAATGGGGGAAAAACACCTGAGGCACAAGAGCAATGAGGTGGGTTACTTCAGGTCACATAGTGAATGAATGGTGAAGTCAGAGCATAAACTCAGGTCTTCTGACTCCATATCCAGTGTTCTTCCATTAGGTTATATCAGAACTAACCACATCCACACATCAGCAATATTCTTTTCACCATTTATTCTCTTTAAATAAGTGAATAAGTATAACTGAACATTTTCTGCATGCATCACATTCATAATACCTTTTTTCCCATGTGAATTCTCTCGTGTCTTTTAAGGCTTTTGCTCAAGAAAAAGGATTTTCCACATTCACCGCATACAAAAGATTTCTTTCCCATATGAATGAACTGATGTTCAATAAGAGATGAGTTATGAGGGAAGATTTTCCCACATACTTTACACTCATAAAGTTTCTTCCTATCATGAATAAACTGATGATAAATAAGGCAAGAATTCCGACTGAAGGCTTTCCCACATTCATTACATATATAGTTGTTCCCTTCAGGATGCATTCTCTGGTGGTAAGTAAGACCAGATTTCTGAATGAAGGCCTTCCTACATTCATGACATTCATAGGGCTTCTCTCCAGTATGAATTCTCTGGTGTTTATTAAGCTGTGTTCTCTGACTGAAGGCCTTCCCACACTCCTTACATTCATAGGGTTTCTCTCCAGTATGAATTCTCTGATGTTGACTAAGGGATGATCGGTCACTGAAGGATTTCTCACATTTGCTACATTCATAAGGTTTCTCCCCAGTGTGGATTCTTAGATGTTGAGTAAGATGTGTGCGCCTACAGAAGGCCTTCCCACATTCTGTACATTTATAGGGTTTTTCTCCAGTATGAATTCTTTGATGTTGAGTAAGAGATGAACTTCGGCTGAAAGCTTTCCCACATTCATGGCATTCATAGGGTTTTTCTCCAGTATGTATCCGACAGTGTTCAATCAGGTGTGCTTCAATACTGAAGGCTTTTCCACAATCATTACATTTGTACCCATTCTCTCCATGGTGAATTACCTGATGGTGAATAAGACTAGACCTCTGACTGAAGGTCTTCCCACATTCATGACACTCATAGGGTCTCTCTCCAGTATGAATTCGCTCATGAACAGTAAGGTTCGTTTTCCTACTGAAGGCTTTCCTACATTCCTTACATTCATAAGGCTTCTCTCCAGTATGAATTCGCTGATGGTTAATAAGGGATGAGCTATCTCTAAAAGCTTTCTCACATTCATTACATTCATAGGGCTTCTCACCAGTATGAATTCTTTGATGGGGAGTAAGGCGTGCTCTCTTACTGAAAGACTTTCCACAATCTGTACATTTATAGGGTTTCTCCCCAGTATGAATTCTTTGATGTTCAATCAGGGATGAGCTATCACTCAAGGCCTTCCCACATTCTCTGCATTCATAGGGCTTTTCTCCAGTATGAAATCTCTCATGTCTATTAAGTTGTGTTCGGGTCCTGAAGGTCTTCCCACATTCATTACATTTATGAGGTTTCTCACCTGTATGAATTTTCTGATGTTGAATAAGATATGGTTTGTGGCTAAATGTTTTCCCACATTCACTGCATTCATAGCGTTTCTCTCCAGTATGCTTTCGGTAATGTTCAATGAGGCTTCCGCCAGTATTGAAGGCCTTTCCACATTTGTTACCTTTATATGGGCTCCCTCCAGGATGAATTTTCTGGTGGTGAATAACACTAGACCTCTCACTGAAGGACCTCCAACACTCATGACATTCATGGGGTTTCTCTCCAGTGTGAATTCTCTGATGTATAGTGATGTTTGCTCTCTGATTTAATGCTTTACCATATTCTTTATATTCACAGGATTTCTCTCCAGTACTAATTCTCTGTGGTTTTATAAGAAATGAGCTGTGGCTAAAGCCCTTCTCATATTCACTGCAGTCATAAGGTTTCTCTCCAGCATGTATTTGGTAATGTTCACCAAGTCTTACATTAATATTGAAAGATAGCCCACATTCCTCACATTGGTAGAGT